GCTTCTCAATCTCAGCACTATTGACAATTTGGGCTAGATAATTCTTTGTTGGAGAGGCTGTCCTGTGTGATTCAGGTTATTTAGTAGCATTCCTGGCCTCTATAAAGCAGAGGCCAATAGCAATCTGGTAGTGACAATCAAAATTGTCTTCATATTTTTTTAATGACTGAAAACTTCCTACATTTATTGGAAAAAATAAATCTACATACACAAGAAGTTCAACAAACTCCCTCTTCTCTATTTCCAGCCTGGCAGCCTGCACTACACATTTCAGACTTTGGAAAATGAATACAAACTTAAAAATCAATTGTTTGGGGCCTCAGCAGAATGTTTATGATGGGTTTATGATGCCTTCAAAAGTGTGACCCTCCGATTTTCTCTAGCCTTAACTGATAGAAACTGGAGAATGTTACTTAAATACTATGGGAAGTTTTTCACACTAGCAGACCTTATCCTTCTCAGTTCCTTTTAAAAAATTTTTTAATTTAATTTTTTAATTAAAATCATCTATACATTTATAGGGTATAATGTGATGATTTGATATATGATGTGGAATGCTTAAATCTCTGATAAGAAGCATTGCTCTACCCCAATTCCCTACTCCCTTGACCCCTCTGGCTTGTGAACCCCAATATCTGTCCATAACAAGGAATGTGACCGGGGCTGTACCATCACTGTCTTGTGTGTTACTACTCGGTGTCTTAAATCCATTTGCTTTCTCCTACTCACTCTTGCCTTTTTCTTTTCTGTTACCATTTTAGGTGGCCAAGTTGTTCTTGGACAATGGCAAATGGCAGTGATGGGATTTGATGGGGGAAAGAGTGTAAGACTGTTATATATGTGCAATTGACTCAGGAATAAGATTTTCTGTAATATTTGTCTCAATGACTCAGGAGAGGCATAGCTCTGTAATTGATTATACTTCACTATTAGATAGAACATATTTAAATTTACAGAAACAAGGATTGTCATGTTTTTCTTTTTCATCATTTTGAGAATTCTTTATACCTGGGTCACCCTTACTGTTTGTGAGTGGAATACAGATGGAGACTTTCATATTTAAAAGTTAATATGTAACTAAAAAACTTAAATGAAATGATGAAATGTGTTCAATCCTTCTATTTTGACAATGGCTTTGTAACAACCTGGAGTCAGGTTCAAATTTACACTTCTTGGTTCTGCATCAGAATAGTGTGTGGAGTTGTCCCTTGGTCTATAACTGAATCCTGTGCTTGGCCTCTTCTGTGCTATCAGGCCCTCTGGATTTATCTGTGGACACCCCAGGCTGCATGTCCAAGCTCCAGCTGCTGCCCCCTCTGCAAACTCCCCTCACTTGGCCCTCAGAACCAGGACTGTTCTGTGTTGGTCCATGTTAGAAAGAGACTGGGAGATGAAGCCCTCCCAGGCTCTCACAGCTCAGGGTTGACTGGACAGAGAATTCCAGAGTCCAGGGTACCTGGGTCATGGGCCAGACTCTGTTTGGGTCTTCCCTCAGTGTCTTCTTGCCTTGAGGAAAGGGGCAGGCCATCTAACGTATGGGATGCTATGTAGATAGGGCTTTTAAAGGGCTCTATGCGCTCTTTAGAAGTCACGTGTTCACCTGACAGTGGACACAGAAAAGTGAGAGTATTGACAGTAACCTCAGCAAAATCCTCAGTGAGTAAAAATTGGTGAGTTTTTTTTTTTTTACTATGGTAAAAACCATAATATAGTTTTACCTTCTTAACCATTTGTAAGTGGATAACTCAGTGGTATTAAATATATTCATATTGTTGTAAACAAGATCTCCAAACTTTTTCATCTTGCAAAACTGAAACTCTATATCCTTTGAATGACTCTCCTTTGCCTCCTTACCCCAAGCCTCTGGTAGCTCCCATTCCGCTTTCTGTCTCTATGATTTGACTACTATAAACATCTCATATAAGTGGAATCAGGCACTGTTTGTCTTTTTGTGATTTAGTGTGCGGATCTCAAGGGTCAGCCATATATAGCATGTGACAGGATTCCCTTCCTTTTAAAGGGTAAATGACCTCCACTTGTATGTATATATCACACTTTATGTATCCACTCCTTCATCGATGGACATTGGGTTACTTCCCAATGTCTTGGCTATTGTGAATAGTGCTGCTATGAACATCTAAGTGCAAACTTCTCTCCAAGACCCTTTCATTTCCTTGGCATATACACCCAGAAGTAAGACTGTTTGATCACATGGTAGTTCTATCATCAATTTTTTGAGGAACCTTCATTCCATTTTCCATAGTGGTTGCACCTTTACAATCCCACTAACAGTATACAGGTGTTCCAATTTCACCACAGCCTGGCCAACACTTGTTATTTCTGTTTTTTAACCATCCTCATGAGCATGAAGTGATATCTCATTGCAGTTTTGACTTGCGTTTCTCCTACAATTAGTGTTGCCAAGCCTCTTTTCACATGCTTTTGCCTATTTGTAGATCATACAAATATAACATAGGTCTATTCAAGTCCTTTGCCTGTTTCTTAACCCAATTAAGAAATGGGCATTTGTTGAGTTGTAGGAGTTCTTTATGTATTTTGGAAATGAATCCCTTAGCATATATAATGTGACTTGGAAATATTTCCTTACACTGTATAGGTTGCATTTTCCTATTGATTTGTGTCCTTTGATGCATAAAAATTGTTTGTTTGAAGTCGTTCCATTTGTCTATTTTTGCTTTTGTTACCTGTGTTTTTGATATCATAACCAAGAAATTATTGCCAACTTCAATGTCATAAAACTTTTCCTTCTATGGGCTTAATAATTTTAGGTCTTACATTTAGGTTTTTAATCCATTTTGAGTTAATTTTTGTACAGGGGGCATAAGATAAGGGTCCAACTTCATTGTTTTGCATGCAGATATCCAGTTTTCCCACCGCCATGAGTTGATGACACTGTCCTTTACTCACTGAGTGGTCGGGGCACCACTGTCAAAGATCATGGGGTTTTAGGTAATTATGTTGAACATTAGATTTGGATTTGGCTCCATTTTCCTGCTCCTTGGAGATCTTTTGTTTTAAAATTGGGTATAAGTGGAGAAGACTGTTTCTTTGAAGAATTTCCATAGAAATTGTGCTCCACAATAATTAACTGGTAGAAAACAACCTGTGGGTGCTGCCTGTGGCTCAAAGGAATAGGGCACTGGCCCCATATGCCGGAGGTGGCAGGTTCAAACCCAGCCCCGGCCAAAAGCTGCAAAGTAAATAAATAATAAAAAAAAGAAAGAAAGAAAACAACTTGTCTGATTTTTTTCCCAGGGCCTCTAACTTGGGTCCTTTTTAAAAATAGTCTAAGATACATCAGATTGTATTAGGAATGTGCCAGCAATGATCCTCAAAGTATGGTTAACAAAACCCTGGGGGTTCACAAGACCTTTTCAGAGAATCCCCAAGCTTAAAACTGTGTTCATAATACTAAGATGTTATTTTCCTTTTTCATTGTGTTGACATCTGTACTGCTAGTACACACAAGCGATGCTGGGTACGACCGCTGGCACCTTAGACTTGAGAGAATGACAACTAACTATGTGAAATCACTGCACTCTTCATCACATGCACTTCCAGCAAAACCAATTATTAAATACTAGGCCTTGAGCTTGTATATTTTTAATACTCTGTTACAGAGGGGGATGTTCACAGAAAAGTACTTCCACCATACACGCCAAAGTACATGGTTGTCTCAAGGAAAAGCACTGTTACGATTCAGCCACAATCAAAACTAGCCACTTAGCTTTTGTTCATAGAACACCACTTTTACCTGAGAGAACAAAAACTATGGTTATTTGGACTTGGAAAGTTGATAAATATTTTTCAAAATAAACAAAGTGAACCTGTCAGTTTAAGGGAAACAGCTGAGAGTATTAGTTGCCAATAAGAAACTTTGAGGTTTCAAGTACAAAAATTTTGGAAAAATGTTTATTCACCATTATAAGCTTAGCAGCTCCCCAGTTGTCTCATTAGAAAATTATAGTAGTAATATAAACATGTGTGTGTCTGTTTTTAAAAACCCTAAAATGGAATGTGTCAACATTTGGAAGGCTTACAAATTCAATGAACTAATATTCTCTAACTGATGAATATATAATGTTACAAAATCATTCACGGGTAAAAGATTCATTTAAAGCAAATGGATTGTTACTGTTACACAGTATGGAAAGTGAACTGATACGCCTTCAGATTCCACAATGCAACTTACCTTTTAGAAACTAGCACTTGTTAAGTTTTGGTGTAGTAACAAAGAATATATAAAAGGCTATTGAAATCCTCTTCCCTTTTCTGACTACCTGCCTGTAGTTGGATTTTCTTTTTCTACTTCAGCCAAAACAACATATTACTACAGACTGAACGCAGATGTAGACACGAGAATCCAGCTATCTTCTATTAAGACAGGTGTAATACAGTAGAGAGACTGCAAATACAGTAGAACTTACATAGTTGACCACCCCTACCTTGCTCACCTCCTTAAGTTGACCCAATTTTCATAGACCAGACATATGTACCATGTGTACTCAAAGAAGTTCCTTATGTTGACCACCTCCACATGTCGACCAGTTTGTTACAGTCCCTTGAGTGGTCAACTTACAGAGGTTCTACTGTATATAAAATGATGCCATATATCCTATTTTGGGGGGGGGAAATGAAATGTTTATTTTTCAGTAAAAATACTATGTATGTGTTAACATGGAATAGGTTTATTATTGTTAGTTTTCAATGAATATATATTTTTAAAGTATCTCAGTTTTAATTTCTATTATGAAAAATAATAGATATAACCCGCTTAAATGAGAATTCTAGGAGGGGTCCCTTTAAGAACACAAAGGGGCCACGAGACCAAAACCTTTGAGAAATATTGTGCTAGAAATTCTGAAGAACTGAAGGCGGTTCTTCCACGGTGACCCAACATTGGCCTAGGAGGAGAAAAATTTTCAGATAAACTAGAAATCAATATTAATCATTGACAACTTGGAGAATATTCTTTCCAGATGGTGATGGAAAGTGGAGACTGGCTGGTCGGTGGAGACCTTCAGGTACTGGAGAGAATAAAGTGGGATGACGGGCTGGACCAGTATCGCCTGACGCCTCTGGAGCTCAAACAGAAATGTAAAGAAATGAATGCTGGTATGTCAGCCGGCTCTGGTGCATGTGTCTCCTCACTGCTGTCTGATAGAAAATTGAGAGCAGGAATCAGCATTTTTAAAGTTTAGAAATTTTTTTTTTTTGGCTGGGGGCTGGGTTTGAACCCGCCACCTTTGGCATATGGGGCCAGCGGCCCTACCCTTTTGAGTCACAGGCACCGGCCATTTTTAAAGTTTAAAAAAACCCTGAAAACATCTTTTTTGGGAATATCCATGATATAGAAACTGTTTTATAAAGGTGTGATGCACTCATGTTTTGGAACACTGCAGCAGTTAAAAATATGCATTGCCACAGAAAGATACCTCAAGTGTGTTTATTAAGTACAAAAGCAAATTGCAGAACAGTATGCAGCATAATCACATTTGGAAAATAGAATAAAATGTAATCATAGTTTTAAAAACTCAACCTACTTGTGTGTGTATAGAAGCAGAAAAGTCTCTGGCAGCATGTGCACCAAACTGCAGATGATAGTGGCTACCTCTGGGGATACAGTTGGATCAAGGGGAAGATTTTCACTCTTTATTACTATACATTTTGAACAAGAGGGAGAAAAAGCAATGAAAGAATTACTGGTGATTTATATATTCTATTTTGGGCTTTTCTGGTTTTCCCAAGTTTTCCATAATGGATATATGAAAATTATATTAGAAAAAAAAAAAAAAAACTCATGCTCTCAGGTGTCCATCACTAAGTGGAGTTATTTTGAAGGTTTCTTTAAAGCAGTGGTTCTCAACCTTCCTAATGCTGCAACCCTTTAATAGAGTTCCTGTGGGTGGCGACCCACAGGTTGAGAACTGCTGCTTTAAAGCAATTTTTTTTTTTGTCAGTAGATTATTGACCCTTGCACAGGCCCAAGAAAGCATTCCTCATGATTATTCACTTATCTTGGGACAGTGAAACTCCAGCAGGGTGTTAAGAGGACTGGTTAACGCTGTCCCTGCCTGAGGCTTGGTTTGCAGGAAAGGTCCTGGCAACAAATGTTTTCATTCCTGAGTCGGCTTTCCTTATAAGGCCTCCGGCCTTTGCATCCCAACCTTGTCTGAGCAATCCAGTCTTGGTTAGTACAGCTGAGTGACACCCCCAAAGACACAGGTGAATCGTCCAGCAGATTATCAAAAGCAAGTGGATTCAATGCAGGTCTGAACAACATACACAGCTGAATCATGCCTCTCTGTTCTGTGGACAAGTGACGCCATGTGTTTCTCTGACCTTGACTTTTCTGCTTTCCTTTCCCAGATGCGGTGTTTGCATTCCAGCTGCGCAATCCGGTCCACAATGGCCATGCTCTGCTGATGCAGGACACTCGCCGCAGGCTCCTAGAGAGGGGCTATAAGAACCCAGTCCTCCTCCTCCACCCTCTGGGTGGCTGGACCAAGGATGATGATGTGCCTCTGGACTGGCGGATGAAGCAGCACACAGCCGTGCTCGAGGAAGGGGTCCTGGACCCCAAGTCCACCATTGTTGCCATCTTTCCATCCCCCATGTTATATGCTGGCCCCACAGAGGTGAGCCCTTCCCTGAGCGAGGCTATGGCACTCAGCAGTGCAGGCTCAAACTTTACTTACAAGAGTAATTGAGTCTCTGGGATCCTTTCCTCTTCCTCATGAGCAGATTCTGGAATGTTCTACTGTCTGTTCTTTATCCAACCTAATTAGGTTTCCATTTAGTATTTGAAAAATGCTAGAAACATCAAACCAAACCTATAGTGCATTGCCTTCGAGAATATAGAGGTTGGTATGTGAAGGTGGATAACAGAGGTGGAATATGAGGTGGGTAATGAAGCTTAACTGGATACAGGGCAAGTTGTATCTAACCTAAGATTCAGCTCCAAGAAGTTCCAATTACTCTAAGGGATTCATAATGACCTGTAAGCTTCATTAGAAGGGGAGGCCTTTAAAAGATGAATGTCTCCTTTTCTTCATAACAGTGAGGCTACAAACTTGATTTAAACAAGTTTGTGGCAAGTATGATGAACTGAAAGGGTCTCAACCCTCTGGAATGCCCTACACTGAGTTAATGAATTAATTCTCTTCGCATCAAAGTTCCAGACTCATAGCTCTCCTCTCCATCCTGTGTATTTCTGTCCGAGCTTTAAAAGGGACAAAAGTGCTGTGTTGAACTGGAATCAATGTCCGCATGTGAAAAGCAATGAGCTCGTTCATGGCAGTCTGATAATGAGATACTGGAGTAATTTTTTAAAACTGTGATTTACTCTGAACGAGAAGGCACTGGAAAGTAAAATTCACAGTTACAGTGAATGGTAAGAGCTGAGTGTTCCTGGGCTGCCACCCTGTTTGGAGAAGGGCTGGCGAATACAACCTTGAATGCTAAGAGGGAGAATTGTTCTTTTTTTTTTGTTGCCCTGGGTAGAGTGCTGTTGCATCATAGCTCACAGCAGCCTCAGACTCTTAGGCTTAGGTGACCCTCTTGCCTCAGCCTCCCAAGTAGCTGGGACTGCAGTCGCCCATCACAATGCCTGGCGATTTTTAGAGATGGGATCTCATTCTTGCTCAGGCTGGGCTCAGACTTCCAAGCTCAGTCGAGCGTGCTAGGATTCCAGGTGTGGGCCACCTGAGAATTCTTATCTTTAAAGCACCTGTCCTACCCAACATAACCAAGCACGACAGCATGGAGTCTTAGAACTTCACCAAATTTCTTACTACTCTTAGGTGACCCACCTCAATTACTTTTAAAGCAGAATAAAGGCATCTCTATAAACAAGGACCTCCCCAACCCCATGATGACCAGCATGTCCTTTATGTGATGTTTCCCAGGTCCAGTGGCACTGCAGGGCCCGGATGATTGCAGGGGCCAATTTCTACATTGTGGGCAGGGACCCTGCAGGAATGCCCCACCCAGAAACCAAGAAGGACCTGTATGAACCCACTCATGGGGGCAAGGTCTTGAGCATGGCCCCTGGCCTCACATCTGTGGAAATCATTCCATTCCGAGTTGCTGCCTACAACAAAGTCAAAAAAGCCATGGACTTCTATGATCCAGCAAGGTAGGATTTCAGAATCTTCAGAGGAACATTCTTTCTTTCTTTTTTTTTTTTTTGAGACAGAGTGTCACTCTGCTGTCCTGGGTTGAGTGCTGTGGCGTCATCATAGCTCACAGCAACCTCAGACTCTAGCGGTCAGGTGATCCTTTTGCCTCAGCTTCTTGAGTAGCTGGGACTACAGGCACTTGCCACAAGGCCCAGTTAATTTTCTATTTTTAGGAGAGAAGGGATCTCACTGTTGCTCAGTCTGGTCTTAAACTCCTGAGCTCAGGCAATCTGCTCATCACGGCCTTCCAGAGTGCTAGGATTACAGGTGTGAACCACGGCACCTGCTCAGAGGAAAATTCTTTTTTTTTGGAGACAGAGCCTCAAGTTGTCTCCCTGGGTAGAGTGCCGTTGCATCACAGCTCACAGCAACTTCCAACTCCTGGGCTCAAGCGAGTCTCCTGCCTCCACCTCTCAAGTAGTTGGGACTACAGGTGCCCGCCACAATGCCTGGCTATTTTTTTTATTGCCGCTGTCATTGTTTGGTGGGCCCAGGCTGGATTCGAACTCACCACCTCAGGTGTATGTGGCTGGGGCCTTAGCTGCTTGAGCCACAGGTGCCAAGCCAGAGAAAAATTCTTTAATGAACATCTGCACAACTGATATGATGAGGCAGAATTCTGGCCCTTTGGAAAATTCTCTAGTGCCTTTCCACAGGCTCCTAACCAGAATGAGCCCCTTGAGAGACATGGTCTTACACATTTTGTGTCCCTTAAAAGTTATAGCATGGTCCCTTATGAAGAGTAGAGGGTCCGTAAGTATTTCCCTTTCAACATGCAAGTCCTAAACACGCACTGAGTGCCCGGCACCTTAAATGAACGGAAGCAGCAGATGGGGGAAGTGCTGTGAGCAAGGGCTCGCAGTAGACAGAGAAATAGAAGACAGTCTCTGGCTTCAAGACACATCCTATCAACAGAGTAGGTGCACAGTAAATAGTGAATGGGTAGCTGCCATTATTTCCCTTTAATCCTGCAAGTTCTTGGACCAAAGATTTAGTGAACTGCCCACTGTCGAAGATGCAACAATTTACAGAAAAATGTGAGTCTAAAAACCCATAACCTACTCCAGGAACCTTTAGGGTAGATGTTATTTGCCGACGCTGAGTTCTTTGCTGCTACCCTGTGACAGGCACGACGAGTTTGACTTCATCTCAGGAACCCGAATGAGGAAGCTAGCCCGGGAAGGAGAGAATCCCCCTGATGGCTTCATGGCCCCAAAAGCGTGGAAAGTCCTGACAGATTATTACAGGTCCCTGGAGAAGAACAACTGAATGCCTTTGGCTCCAGAGTCTGTTTCTAAAGTGCTCTCTAATTACCTTTTCTATTTTTGTGATTAGATGCTTTGTATCCAGTTGTTTTCTCCATGACTGATTTTAAAGTAAATCGTTTATAATGAAGTAAAAATTCTGTCTATAACTTAAAGTCAACATGTATTTTATATTGTGCAAAACTGAGGACCAAATCTTAGCAGATGTAAGCAATACTGTTATACATTTCAGAATAAAATTAGCCATATTCTCTATTGCACCTGAGCAGTTAGGTCCCGGATTCCTTAAAGCTTTGACTGCAAGTCTAGCTACTTGTCAGAAAGTGAAGCATATTTTCCAGCTTAAGTTTTGCCAACCTGCGCTCTCCTGGTGTCTTATACCAGTAGTAAAATAAATCAGATCAGTTTTCTCTTCCGTACAATTGATTAAAAAAAAAGATTTCTCATCTTAAAAGGGGTCTGGCTGATGCCAAGATGTTTTTTTAACCTCAGGCTTGTGACAGCCTTGCTGCTTCCTATCTACCCTGTTGAAGGCCTGAATGCAGAAACCAAAAGTGCGACAATGTGAATTCAATCTTAGAGATCTATGCAACCTACTTCTGCCAGGAAAGTTACATTGTTCAATAAGAAATCTTAATGGCCTTCTGTGAATAATGTAACTCCAGTTAAACCATGACTTTTAATAGTGTAGCGCTTTGATAGAGGATTTGCACTGAGAGGTCAGGCCATCCTGCGATGTTGTAGAAACTTTTCCTCTTTGCTGTGGTCATTATGTCCTACGGAGAGGCTGGGCCTATCTGAATGCAGCAGCAGCTATAACCAAAAATAATCCACACCCTCCGACTAGGGAGGGGCTAGCTCTGGAAAAGACCCCAGAAAACACAGAACCCAGCCCTGTCATCTAACGGGTGAACACTGCAATGTGCCTGCCTGCCTCCCTCCTGAGCTGTTGAGCTGTAACAAAAATGCACCCTGAATGAACACCCAGACCACTTGACTTTGTCTGGTGCTTTGTCTGCACCAAACACAGAATGCTGGGTCGCAGTCCCCTCAGCTGCTAAACAAGCTCCTGAACACAGGGTGATTGTCAAGAGGCCTTCTTGGACACTGAAAGGTCTGCAGCAGTGTTTTTCAACATTGTTATCTCACAGCACACTTAAACCTATACACTTCTACAGCACTTAAATTATGTTGAACAACAAAAAGAGTTAAAAAAAAAAAAGAAAAGAAAATACTATGCTTTGAACTTTTCAAAAATAATTAATGATCTTTAATAATATTCGTGGCATACCTAAGGTCTTTTCATGGCACCCCTGTGTACCACAGGGTAAAAATCACTGGTCTAGAGTTTTCTAAACTCTGTTGACTTTACTGGTTGAAAAAAACAACTTTTCCAAAGACTGAAGTGGTTCTGAGACATCCTCTGATGGCTTTATTTCCTGAGAGGCAGTCTTTGTACTTTGTGGGTAATTCATTATTTCTAAAGAATACATGAAGAAAAAGCACTTTTTATAGGTAGGTCTCTCTGGAAGAGACCTAAACTGAAAAAAGAAAACTGTGATATTTTTCATATTCTCAATTTCTTTTTAAATGTTAATGTCAGCTAATAAAAGTTCTTTTGAGAATTGCATATAATGTCCACAGCAAAGTTTGTCTTTAACAGTATAGTATCTATATGCACTTAATTGGAGGTACTCACTACTGCCTTTTTAAAAACAGCGTATTTATTGAAAATGTGAGATAGGAGATAGTGCCTTAATCAAATGTATTTTCTCATTTTAAAAATATATTTAAAACTGTTCTTCTGCTCTAGTTTCACACTTAGTGCAAATGATTGTTTCTATGTACAACTGATGCTTGCTCTTATTTTAATAAATTTCTCAATATAAAGGCTGGGTCTTTTCTGCTCATAACACTGGGTGTGGGCTGACCACACGACTGTTGAGGGCTTTGTGACTTTGTGTCACTGGAGGCAGCAGCAGTAAGATTCTGTCACTGTCCTTGTTCACATCCTTTTCTAAACCGTCCTCTAGATGTGAACACCACAGGGTTTCCAGCCAAGCACTTTTAGTGATCATTCCAGTGATCATGGGTTGTTCAGGGGTCTCAACCCAGCATTTCCCCGCAGGAGGAGCTCATTCCCTCTAACCCTCTCCATTTGGGATGAGGTTACTTTGCTCCCTTTTTCTCAAAGGAACAGATCTGAGTTCTCACAGTGCCACCAAGGAGTTTCAAAAGCTAGGTTGGAAGCAGTGGGGTTTTTCCCCCTCAGCAATCCCCACACCACCACTAACACGGAAAGGATACTCCAGTGTACTCAATACTAACATGAAACCAACATATAAACAACTACACTCCCATACAAAATAAAAAACACCAATATAATTGGGAGGCGCCTGTGGCTCAAAGGAGCCGGCCCCACATACTGGAAGGTGGTGGGTTCAAACCCAGTCCTGCCCCCCCCCCAAAAAAAACTGAAAAGAGAAAGGAAAAAACCCCCACAAATATATAGTCTATTAAGGAGGAGGGGCGAGAAGGGAGAGGGGAGGGGGAGAGGGAGAGTGGTGGGCAGGATCTCTGTAATGTGCATGACGTGAGGCTGTGCAGCACGCCACACCCCCCACCCCCCCCACCCCCCAGTGAAGGACTCAACTACAACTTGACCTTTACCTTAGAAGTAAAAACAATGTCACCTAAACATTTGTACCCTTATGTTAATTTGAACAAAAAAGAGAAAAAGGATACCTGTTTCCACTCACACTTGTGCCCTTCAGTCCTGCGGCTGTTTTTGCTCCCGGAGTCCCTGCTTCCCTTCTGTCCTGAAGGCTTCATGCAGTTTTTGTCTACTGATCCTCACCCCAAATAAAACTGTTATGACATCCAATACAAAGCCGCCATTTGTAGCCCCTCTCTTTTCTCCCCAGATGTTACGTGGTGGCTCCCAATGCCACTTAGTAGGAACACGTAGGACAAGAAACGTGTGTAAATACGTGAACACGTCAGTGATGCAGGATGACAAACTGCTCAGAGCAGTGTGAAAAGACCCTGGAAGGGCACAGGTCAATCATCTGGCCAGACAGTAGTCAATTTCATACATAAATATATCAACACTTTACCAGGCCATAAGACTTCTTTCCAACCCGTCGTCTTTGCAAGAAGCAAATCTTGGTTGCTTGAGAACACCAAGTTCCTTTCCCCCCTCATCTTCCTATTACACAACTTTCAGATCTAGCATTGATCTTCAACGTAACTTTCCTCATAGGCAGGAAAATCAGTAAATTAGATGGGCACCAGATGAGTCAACCATTCTTGTGTCTAACGGTTTGAGGGAACTTTCAAGGCCAGACTATGCCGCCCCAAAAGATACTTCTTGGGCATACTTCAAGTTGGTTATTCTGAGAACTGCAGAGGAATAGCACCGAAAGTTGTCCTTTTGTAAAGGAAATTTACATCTACCTACCTTAGTAACAGTGGATAAAAGCGGAGGTTTATCTTTGAGGCCTCTTCTTTGCCTAGACAGCTATCCAAAGGACTGCCTTTCATTTCCTTATCTTGTAATTTTACTGAAAGTATTAAAAAATAAATGGAGCACTAGCTAGAGTATGGACATTTTAGTGTGATACAAGGAAAACCCAGAAAAATTCTTTTCCACAAGGCTAGCAAAGAATAGCGATGTAAGGAGTCCTTCCATGAGCTGACTTCCACAGAGAAATAAGGCCTGCAGAATTAAGCAGAGGGCCGTGGGGTTTTGGTGTTTTTTCCACTGGGTGTGGACTCCTGGATCTGGATATAGTGTGTGGACGAGTAGGGCTGCCCTCATCTTCAGAACATTATTGTGTTCTCGATTCAGTTCCAAGTTTGCATGGCAGTAGTTATTTCAAGGTTTTTCCTTTTGTTTTAAAACTGAGTTGTCATAGTTCACAGATGTATGTTTGATGCATTCCACACTGAATACTAACATTCACTATAACTTACTTAAAAGCATAGGCTCGGCGCCTGTGGCTCAAGCGGCTAAGGCGCCAGCCACATACACCTAAGGTGGCGGGTTTGAATCCCCAGCCCGGG